GTAAAACTTTTTAAAACAACAGACAAATACTATCAAAAAACTTTGACAGAAATGATCTGGATGGCGACCCGAAAGAGGAAAAAGGACTCAAACGTTGTTTGTATTATCTTAATTTTCAATAATGATAATAAATAACTCAGTTAAATTAATCCTGGACTAATATGTATAATTATATAAATAACGAATTTACTTAAAATAAGTAACAGTCGAAAGAAGGTATGACAATAAAAAAAGTTCATATTGTGAAATGACAATGTTTCTTATGACTTTGTATCGTCACCAACAATTATTTTTTCAAAAATATAAGGCTTTACTTTCAATAGAAGTTTTTCTGATCCTTTAAGTTAAAGCACGTAAGAACTCATACACTTAAGTGCACTAGCTACAACAGAGGTTTCTGAAAATGGAAATATGTGAAGACATGAGAGGAAAGTATGTCTGAATGTACAAACAGATAATTAATAATTTATTGACTAATTACCAGTATTAATTAATTAAGAATGTTAATCTTTTCTAAATAAAACATTTCCTAGAGAGGAAATAACATTTCATTCGTCATTCAATAGTCATCTGAAATATTGTTTCGATACAGAACAATTATTTTTTCCATTTTTTGTGATATACATTTGCTTAAATTCTGTCAAAAAATTCAAATTTATTTATAAACTAGCTGTGGCTCAAAATGTATCTATTATAAATGTATAACACTCCCCGTGGGAGGGAATTTAGAAAAATCCCTTCTTAGTGTACATTCTCTTGACGTATCCTATTAAAACGGAATCAAAAGCGCAAAAAGCCGCATCTAAAATATAATAGAACTGAGTTCTTTACGGTAAGCCTTAATCCTGCCCCTCTCCCCCGCGGGGGAATTTCGATATCTAAATTATATAAAAACATGCGCGAATTCGAATGCAACGTTGTGTCAAAATTTCAAAGCAATTGGTGAAGAACGATTCGGAGATTTAAGATTTTGAACAAACGAAGATTACATTTTTATTTACGTAGATTAATTTTTCTTTAAACATCAAATTACCTTTAAAAATAATTCTAGTATTTTTCTGATTAAAATGTATGCGGTACTACGGCGGAGAGAATAAGTCCCCGCTCTTACCACGTAGTTGGATCATGAGAAAATACAGGAGATACTCTCTCTTAACGACAAAGTTTAATGTCCCGAACCGAAGTTTCGTTCTCGGAAANCTTTGTAATTCCAATCGACGAACCATAAACAGCAGGCGACTTGAAGTAAAACTTTTTAAAACAACAGACAAATACTATCAAAAAACTTTGACAGAAATGATCTGGATGGCGACCCGAAAGAGGAAAAAGGACTCAAACGTTGTTTGTATTATCTTAATTTTCAATAATGATAATAAATAACTCAGTTAAATTAATCCTGGACTAATATGTATAATTATATAAATAACGAATTTACTTAAAATAAGTAACAGTCGAAAGAAGGTATGACAATAAAAAAAGTTCATATTGTGAAATGACAATGTTTCTTATGACTTTGTATCGTCACCAACAATTATTTTTTCAAAAATATAAGGCTTTACTTTCAATAGAAGTTTTTCTGATCCTTTAAGTTAAAGCACGTAAGAACTCATACACTTAAGTGCACTAGCTACAACAGAGGTTTTTGAAAATGGAAATATGTGAAGACATGAGAGGAAAGTATGTCTGAATGTACAAACAGGTAATTAATAATTTATTGACTAATTACCACTATTAATTGAAAGTACGTAGTTGTAAATGTTATTTAAGAATGTTAATCTTTTCTAAATAAAACATTTCCTAGAGAGGAAATAACATTTCATTCGTCATTCAATAGTCATCTGAAATATTGTTTCGATACAGAACAATTATTTTTTTCCATTTTTTGTGATATACATTTGCTTAAATTCTGTCAAAAAATTCAAATTTATTTATAAACTAGCTTTGGCTCAAAATGTATCTATTATAAATGTATAACACTCCCCGTGGGAGGGAATTTCGAAAAATCCCTTCTTAGTGTACATTCTGTTGACGTATCCTATTAAAACGGAATCAAAAGCGCAAAAAGCCGCATCTAAAATATAATAGAACTGAGTTCTTTACGGTAAGCCTTAATCCTGTCCCTCTCCCCCGCGGGGGGATTTCGATATCTAAATTATATAAAAACATGCGCGAATTCGAATGCAACGTTGTGTCAAAATTTCAAAGCAATCGGTGAAGAACGATTCGGAGATTTAAGATTTTGAACAAACGAAGATTACATTTTTTATTTATATAGATTAATTCCTCTTTAAACATCAAATTACCTTTAAAAATAATTCTAATATTTTTCTGATTAAAATGTATGCGGTACTACGGCGGAGAGAATAAGTCCCCGCTCTTGCCACGTAGTCGGATCATGAGAAAATACAGGTGATGCTCTCTCTTAACGACAAAGTTTAATGTCCCGAACCGAAGTTTCGTTCTCAGAAATGTCTCTTGAACTATATGGCAATAGTCAATAAAAATAAAATAAAAAAAAATATATGGAATTGTAAATACGATTTAATTAATTTTTAAACCTTTATAGCTAAAAATTTCATAATTTTCCAGGCGAAAAATATTTTAGTACTAGTGTGTGTTATTTTTTAAGTTAAAATTATGTGTGAAGCCATCTGCTATGAGATTTCATTAAAAAATAGCTTATTATTACTATTATTAACTCGCGGGGGACGGAATTCCGACATAAATATTTATCAGGGCCGGATCAATAGGCGCGAGGCCCGATTAAAAATAGCTTATTATTACTATTATTAACTCGCGGGGGACGGAATTCCGACATAAATATTATCAGGGCCGGATGCAATAGGCGCGAGGCCCGATTAATTATTATTTTTTTTTTGCGGGCTCCTCAAACACAAAATTAATTAACAGTTATTTAAAATCTATATTTCAATACGTAAATTATTTATTTAAAACAAAATCCAATTGTAAAAATCAAAAGTCATGAACCATAAGGTAGACAAATTTCTACATTTTTATATTTGGTACAGGTTTTTTAAACTGTATTTTATTGAATATAAACATACATAGATATGTTTTAGTATTTCTATATTTTTAAATGAATATAACTTCATAAATTTTTGCCATGAAAAATCTAATGTGTTGATGAATTAATATAACTGAATTTTATTGAATATAAACGTATAAAGAGATGTTTTATATGTTCCGAAGTTTTTGTTCTGTAAAATCTAAAATGGTATCAAAATCTAACTGGCTTGCTTCCTGACTCTCAATTGACATGATCGCTAAACTGTTGGATCTATTCTGTAATTTGTAAGATATTTCTATATCTTACAAAATATCTTAATCGGATACAAACGAAAATATCTTAGACGGATACAAACGAAAAGGATACGTTAAAGCTTCTAATAGATCTATTTTGCGATCTTAATATTAAGTAATGCACTTTTCTGATGATCATTACTAATATAAAAGCCATTGTCTGTGTGTATTTTGTGCGAATATTTTATAACTCCTGCAATTTATGTCCAATTCAAATAAAATGTTGGTTCTATTCTTTTTTATGTTCCGACGGAATGTGTAGACTACTTATTTTACGGAAATATTAGCTGTAGAATAAACGTTTTATCGTTTCATAATTAATATTTGTATATATTTATAATTATTAGTTCTGTCTTTTCGTTAGCTTTACGTACGAATGTAAAAAGTAATTTCATTAAACAAATTTCTTGTAAAATTACTTTTTACATATGAGATTTTTATAGAACTTGCTACATTTTAATAAAGTCATTGTCTAATTATTGCCGAATCAAAAAGTATACTATTCTATTATTTTCTTTCTCGAAATCATATTTGATTTTATTATGGTGAATATTTTAATGATTAATTCTGAATCACATCTAAATAAATTATTTTGTAATGTATCAATTAATACAGATTAGATAGAAACAGAAGTTGAAACGATTTGGAGGTGATTAACATCGGTATCATCTGTAAACTGTTTACGTATGTATTGTTTCTCTATTTACAATTAATAAGTTTTATATTCATTTTTCTTTATATATTTTCACATATTGAAATTTTTATTCACTGCAATGTACTGTACAACAGCGAAATAAATAATTTACTTAGCTTCTTTGATAATTTTGCAATGTAAATACGTGTAATTAATTATAAATTATAATAAATAAATGATGCCTTGAACACAGTTAAATTCTTCCGAGCAGATTATTTTCATTGTAATTAATTTTAAAACGCGCGATGAATAAGCAAACTTTGGACCAACTGATAAGAAAAAAAAAAGACGTTTTGAAAACCTTTTAACACCATAAATGAGATTGACAAGCAATAAAAGATAATTGGCTTTGTACTTTTTGTTGTCGCGGTAAATTTTAAATACTTCCAGGAATAAAGTTCAAGGATAATCCCTTACATTAGTGGTTCTCAACAGGGGTACATGTACCCCTGGGGGTACGAGCATAAATCGAAAGGGTACATCTAACTTTCATTATAAAATGGCGTATGTTAATCAATTTGCTGTAAATTATTAACACAAGAAACAAGAAACGACAAAAACTTGCTTTAAAATATCCCAGTGTAAACACCGATTTCCCTTTTAACAGTCCAAACAACTTGTTTATCTACTTGATTTGCTTGTCTATTTGTGCCGTTAGTCCTTCAAAAGTACCGGAGAATTTGAGAAATGCCTTTACGGTTTCAAATTTGCTGATGGGAAAACCCCTATCTATACCTCCTAGTGTGGGACATAATGCCTCCGGTGAAGGATGGGCAACGTTGGTAAGACGGCTAACATAGGAGGGGACCGAGCAGGAGTCGGGATAAACTTCTAACTTCATTCTTGTGATGAAGAAGGGCAATCTCTTGTCCTAGGAGTAAGAAATTGCTCCTTAAGGCGGATGAACTATTTACTTAGTCAACGGCATGGGAATGTGGAAGGCAATGGAAAACCACCACATTATTTTCTTCCTAGTTATAGTATTATGACATACAATCCAGGAATGGCCCTCAGTCCCCGGCAGACCTTCAATGGTCAGAGGGTGCTAAGAATCTCCGGACAAAACAAAAAATTAGCTACATGGAATGTTAGAAGTATGTTTGAAAGTGGAAAATTAGATAATACGGTGAAGGAAATGGAAAGATTAAAGATTGATATATTGGGTATAAGTGAAGTTAGATGGCCTGGTACGGGAGTTTGCAAAACACAGAATGGAATTTTTTATTATTCAGGAAATAATTCGATAAATCATAACCACGGAGTAGGTGTTATATGCAACGAAAATACAAGCAAGGCAGTTTTATTCTTCTTACCATATTCTGATCGAATAATTTTAGTAAAAATAAAAACAAATCTAGGAATCTTAAATATAGTTCAAGTATATGCACCAACTGCAGAAAAAGATGACAGTATTATAGAGGACTTTTATCAACATATAAGTGATGTTTTAAAATATACAAAGAAAAATGAAATTTTAGTTATT